GAGGCAGGGACTCGACCCTCCCCACAGGTTCCTGTGGGAGCCGAAATGAAGGTAGTTACAAAGGTCTGAGCTCATGCAGGAGGCAGGATGTTTACGCTGAAAGTGTTTGTGCAGCCATGGAAGAACTACTTTGTGTCACCCTCCCTTCCTTACCGGTTGTTTGTTACTCACTCTATAATAAAGGCTTTGAAGCCATTTGAGGCTGCACCTCATGGGAGGGCAGCCCTCCTGATCCCATAACTGTGTTTGTCTCTTTCATTCCCACTGCTCGAACTCAGGTTTGTTCATCTTTCAGGCTGGTTCCTGACAGGAACACATGCACAGTAGGGGGTTTGGGCCAAGCGGCCAAGTCCTGTGCCACCAGTCCGTAATATAACATAGAACTATGCAAATAGCCCTGCGGTAAAACCACAAAGGTCTATTGCCGACCCTCCCCGGTAAAGGCAAACTGTTCTTGGCTCTCCAGAGCAATGTCAATGGAGAAAAAGGCACTGGCCAACTCCATACCGTAGCCGTAAGTTCCAAGTTTATGCGACAATCTATAAGATCGGTAATGTTCGGACCACTGCATGTGAAGGAAGTGTCACTTAGTTCAATTCAAGATAATCAATAGTCATACACCAGGAGCTGTCAGGTTTGTGCACTGGCTATACAGGGGAATTAAACAGACTATGGGTGGAGCGAATAATGCAGGCTTCTTCAAGCTTCAGGAATAGTCCGTCCTATCTCCTACCAGGCAGCCAGTGCTGTTTCATATTAACTTCTCAGGTGGCTTGGGGTAAGACCAAGGGGGCATGATTCCGGGCCCCCGAGGCCCAGTCTTAATTACCCGTGCACCTGCAGCCAAAATTCCCCCTGCAATGTGGTAACTGTTAGTCCCCTCAAGACATCTACCCCTAGGATGTATTCCAAAATAGGGGCGATGTACACCGCCTAAGTGCGCGGGCGGGAGACCCGCCCCTAAGGTACCACAGCTTCCTTCACCTGTATCTACATCCCCTTCAATGGTAGCAGCTTGTCTATGGAATGCTGCAGGGCTCCTATATACCAAAGTTGAGTCGGCTCCCGCGTCCATCAGGGCCAAAACCCTGTGTATACTCTGGGAGGACCAATAAATGGTTAGTTCCACATAGGGTCTCTGGTTGCCCGGATCCCCCAGATGCCGCAAGCCCTGACCTGTTCCCTGATCAGGGAGACCATCAGCCAGTTGCACCTCCTGGGGCTGCAAAGCAGCAGGCAACGGGGTAGACTGTGGCTCCGGCCGCCATTTCTCCCACGGGGCCTGGAGGAGCTCTGGTGCTTGGCTGTCTACCTTGACCCAGCCCCTGCCAGCAGATCACTCCGCAGTTGCCCGCCGCTTATTTTCAGCGGCCCAATAGGTCCTCTGTCTATTCGGCTGCCCCCGTTTCTCTTTCGGGCAAGTTTTGGCCTGTCTCACAGCCCGACCCCGGTCGCCTTCCTTGCCCGGCACTTCTGTCACCCAATCGGGCTGCGGGGCAGCTGCCCTAGGAGCCGGGCGGCAGGGTGCCGGGCGCCGGCCCACGCCGCCTGCCGCGCGAACGACTCCTCCCGCATCCAGGTCCGCAGTCTAGTCCCGCGCACGCTCCCGAAGTCGCGGGCACTG